TCGAATTTTAGAGATTGAAGTAAAAACATAAAAGGTAGGCTATTTTTTCTATTTTTTAAACCCACAGCAGCTACTAAGGTAGGGTAATACTTTAAGAGTAATCGTTTTGTTGGGGCGAAAAGATAAGGCTAATCGCGATTATATAGGTTATTATACATAACTACCTACCTGCTACCTGCTTGAAAATTCACAAATATATCTTGTTTTTTTTTCCGACGAACCTTTCTTCTTCAATATATGTGTGTATCTAGTGGTCTGTAGTTACCCAATAGTAAAAAGCAAGAGCTATGTTAAACACAATGTATGTTGTGGTGTGCCACCTGACGTTCGGTATGACTGGCTGATGACGGCTAATAAGCTAGAAACGGCCACTTCGGTCTTTCTCGGTTCCACTCCATCATATGTCTGACGTCGCTGTGCGACTGCCTGTGAGGGCTCTAGATTGAGGTCAAAGACACAACGGAACGAGATTATTCCGTAACCAGATCGGTGAAAGCCCTACTTCCATCATCTTCCCAATCACAACCGACAAAAACAGCGGACCCCCAGCTCAATGATAGAGCGTTACATGTCATAACCAAGGGACCGCCACCCGTGGGATTGGGTATGACTGCCTAATGACGGCTAATAAGCCAGAAATGACCATTCCAGTCTCCCTTGCCTTTGTCAGTTCCACATTATCATAACTCAGTAAGCATAGCGCAGGTACAGCACATTTGGCTGCCATATGCTGCTGTCGCTTACTGTGTTTCCATTCGTAACAGTAGAACCGATCGGTTGTTTCTGAGGAGACGGTTATAAAAGTTGATTGTAACACTAGACTGTGCATTTTACACAGAACTGATCATCAAGTTCGGCAAATGTACTCTTCTGACCATTCAGCATCAGACCTGTACATTAATTATATGGCAGTCTAAGATGTAAGGTATAGTTTAACCACACATACAAAGTTCGTTCCGCCTGATAGGTGAAGTCAATCAACCATGACGAGCAAGTCGCTAGCTGACTGCCTGCGAGGGCTCTAGATTGAGACTCATGACACAATGGAACGAGCATGTTCTGTAACCAGATCGATGAGCGCTCTATAAGACTCAACTTTTCTTGCCATCGACCGACCGCGATGGAGGGCAATCATTTATGAGCCTGCAGCGGGGTGATTGGCAGATGAGGCAAAGTTGCCAAGACGTAGGAGTTGTTAGGCTCTGCCCCGTTTCAGTCCTCTTGAACTTTGGGTGTAGTACAGTAGTCGCCGGCTATTAAGCTCACCTCGGACCCAAACCAAATTGGGCTTAATAAGCGGCGGGCGCAATAACCGGAGAGTCCT